CTGGATGAGCGCGAACAACTAGACTGTGACCTCGAAGGTCTGCGTCAATTAATCTTTGAGGAAAACGAAGCCTTAAAGGCAAAAACAATACATGGAGGAATCGGCCGTGTATTTAGCTCTGAGTCCAAAGCGGATCAGTCGACTGCTAAAGGAAAAGGACTCACTGAAGCGATTATTGGAATTCAAGCGAACTTTGTTTTAACAACAAAAAATGCCAAAGGACAACAATGTTACGAAAAGCGTGACCGAGTAACTGCGGAAATAAAAAATCAGGAAGGCCATGACTGTGCAACAGAAGTGCGAGTGAAAGATAACCACGATGGTAGCTACAAAGTCAGTTATTTTGTGAAAGAAACCGGAAGATGCCAGGCAGTAGTCAAAGTCAATGAGGAAGAAGCTGGAGGCAGTCCTTTCTCGGTTGAAGTTACACCCAGACAATTCAGACCCGTGTTATCTTTTGGACAACAAGGCTCGTCTCCTGGAATGTTAAGCAATCCCTGGGGAGTGGCAGTGAATGAACGTGATGAAATTGCAGTGACTGAGTGGGATAACCACAGGGTTCAGGTATTCAGTAGCGATGGAACTTACTTAAGATCTTTTGGTAGTAAAGGTGATAAACAGGGTGAGCTCAACCGGCCTTATGGGATAGCTTTTGGTAAAAACAAGAACATTATAGTGGCGGACTGTTTTAACCACCGTGTTCAATTGTTCAGTGAGCAGGGTGAGTATCTTAGCCAGTTTGGTAGTAAAGGAAATCTTGATCACCAGCTGTTTCATCCTCTCGGCTTATCTGTAGAGAACGATGGAAATATAATTATTGCTGATTCAAACAACAAATTGATCAAGATGTTTTCTCCTAAAGGCCATTATTTAAATAAGTTCGGGGGTGAGGGTTCTTTAACCTTTCCCTTTCACTGTATACAGTATGAAAAATATCTCATAGTGTCAGATACAGATGAACATTGTATCAAAGTGTTTGATAGGAATGGTAATTTTTTGTACAGATTTGGAAATAAGGGGGAGGGGGATGGGGAGTTCTTAAACCCTCGTTGTTTATCAGTTAACAAGGCAGGACACCTGATGGTCTGTGATGCATTTAATCACAGAGTTCAGGTATTTGATCTTAGTGGAAAGTTTATAACAAAATTTGGATCAAAAGGAGACAAAAAAGGAGAATTTGATCTTCCTATGTCTGCCTCAATGCTCAGCGATGGTCGAATACTTGTGTCTGAATTTGATAACCATCGCATTCAGATATTCGAATAGACTAACATCAGTACGCCTTAAAAGATTTGAATTAATTTTATGCAACTTTTAAACGTGAAACTACTCTGGACAAGTGATGTATGTTCTCAGTAAGAATATTCTGAATGGTCAGTTGAACTACAAAACAACCAATCACATCACAAATTTCAGAGATTGCGCATTA